CTCAGCTGCTCCCCAGCTCCTCCCCAGCATCTCCACGCAAATCCAGAGGGATGCCTACAAAGCCTTGGCTTTACCCCTGACTTAAAAAAAAAAAAATAAGTGAATATCAGTAGAATAAGGCAACCTGGCAAAGCAGGCAACCTCAGCACGGCTGGGCAATGCTGATCACCAGCACCCATCACCGGTGGCACCAGGGTGAGTGGTGGCACCCCTGGGAGCACTCTCCCCAGCAGCAGCGGCTCACTCTGAGCACGTGGCCGAGCCAAGAGAACCATCATTCTTCCTCTGCCTTGACCAAAGGCTGCATCATACCCGACAGGCCCCCAGGGGAGTAAGGATGAACATCAGGTCGAACACGTCTCCTGCTCCCAGCCGTGCACACATCTGCCTCCCCCGAGAGCTGGGACACGCAGTCACAAGCACAGCCCCAAAAACCACTCCAAAGCCTGTGGATGAGGAGGGAGGACAACCCCACGCTCGGACCAGTAGGCTGCAAGGTCTGAGGATGAGACTCAGAGATGCTCAGACTGAGCTTCCCCTCCCCTCTTGCTCCTCTGCCCACGACTGCTGCTGCCTGTTGGCCAGAGACCCCACGGGGCCACCACGGGCACGGGTCAGAAGAAAACCCAGAGCACCCTTTTCCCCTCCCCAAAACGCCGTGTTTGTCCGAAAGCCAGCTTGCTGCAAGCGTAAGGGAGCCCATGCCCTTCTGAGTTAAGATTTAAAGTTTTAACAAAAGCAATTCAGTGTTTTGTCTGGGCGAGCCGCTGGGAGCACCCAACAGCTCAATTTTTATTGATAAAAGCCTTTTTTCCTCTAAAAAACACGGGACAGGTTCTCCCCATGACAGCAAAACATGGGCAACGCAGAGCCTCGCATCACAAAGCACAACAGTCTCCCTGCATTTCTGCTGGGCCACATGGAAAAAAAAAAACAAAAAAAACAAAAAAACAAAACCCCACATCTGGCAACGTCTGCAAAGAGAGTCCTCGTGAGCGAAACCCGCAGAGACCAGTGGTTGCCAGTCTCCTCCACCAGCTGGGAGCCCACTGAAGCACGCCATCAGTCACCCTACGGGCCATAAGCGAGGTGCTTTTGCTTTGCTCTGTCTTATTTTGCATCCCAAAAACAAGCATCCGCTGTGTTGTCACCAGCCTCCCGTGAGCTCCAGGAGAGCAGCCCCAGCAGACCCTTCCCAAGGTGCTCCCATCCGCTACGGAGCCAAGGGGGGGGTGACGACAAAGCAATCAGGGAGCAGACAAGGAACACGCGACTTTCCCGTCCTGGAGGGACTGCTGGGACTTGCTGGAAGGCGTCCAATTAGTTAACGAGCACTCCAGAGCCGAGTCTGGTCTGGAATCAGTAATTAATTGCCACAAGACAAGCCAGAGCCGATTATATTGGAGGAACCCGTGTCTGTGCTAAGGATGGACCTAGGAAAAGAGGGTCTGCCCAGCCAACCCCATATCGAAATGGAGAGAAGCAGCTGGCAACGAGCAAGCAGGTTGATCTGGATCCTCCAAAAAACCTGCAACCCCTCTGCCACATCGGGGGCAAAGCCCACAGACGGATCCCACCCCAAATGTCTTGGCACAGCTGAGGGTCCCCGTCCCTGGAGCTGGTCTTCTGCATCGATACCAGCCCGGCTGCAGGGACGGTGAAAGCTTTGCTTCTGATGAGCAGTGCTGTAGTAATTAAGCAAACGGGATACATCAACCTGGATGGGCACCTCCTGCTTCTATCGTCCACAAACCTCGTGGTTTTGGAAGTCCTGGAATAATTGCTTCACATCCATTAGTCTCCTGCTCCAAGCTCTTGAGCATCCTCCAGCACAGGAGGTCCCAGGTCCGAGGTGGCTCAGATAAGCCAAGCTGTCACCAGCAGCGTTAGCCCTCCTGGACCTCATCAGCCCTCCCGGGCAGGTTCTCCTGGTTGAAAATCAACGGTTGAGCTCCAGGAAGGAGGAGAAGACGTCCTTCCAAGGCGTCTGCTCCCAGCCCTCGCCGCTCCCTGGAGCCACCTCTCCGGAGCGTGTCCCCACCACGCGGCAGGAGCTGCGGAGCGGCTCTGCATCCAGCCCCTCTGATAAATTAGCTGGAGATTCAGGCATTCCGCGCAGCTGCCTCATCCTCCGCCGGCATGACAATGTGATTAATTTTGGGTGCGGGATGAAGCTCATTTATCAGAGGCACGTGAGGGCCGGGCGGGCTGCGGGGGCGTGCGGGGAGCCCCCGGGGCTCGGGGGAAAGCAAAAAGGAGGCAAAAGGCCTGAGGGAGGGAAGAACGGAGCCCAGGGCATCTCCCAGGAAGGCTGTTTGCCACATTGGCTGGCAATTAAGCATGCTGGGGGAGAAGAGCCCCACGTGGGAAGAGAGCTTTTCTCTCTGCTAACACACATGGCCGCGGCCGGGGAGAGGTGTGTCACAGGAGGGGGGTAAGAGGATGGGGCAGAAGCAGCCTTGAGTCTGTTACCGTGCTTCAGGAGAGGCAATTCTACCACTGCTGCCACTTCTCCCCCCACCACCCCTTTCCTCCAGGCCATTTTCCACCTTCCACCACCAACAGTGTGCCCAGGTGGCCAAGAAGGCCAACAGCATCCTGGCCTGCATCAGGAACAGCGTGGGGAGTAGGACCCGAGAGGTGATCACCCCCTTGTACCGGGCACTGGTGAGGCCCCACCTCCAGTACTGTGTCCAGTTTTGGGCCCCCCACCACAAGAAAGACATTGAGGTGCTGGAGCGGGTCCAGAGAAGGGCAACAAAGATGGTGAGGGGTCTGGAGAGTAAGTCTTATGAGAAGAGGCTGAGGGAGCTGGGGGTGTTCAGTCTGGAGAAGAAGAGGCTGAGGGGAGACCTTATCACTCTCTACAACTCCCTGAAAGGAGGGTGTAGAGAGGCGGGGGTCGGTCTCTTCTCCCAAGTTACAGATGACAGGACAAGGGGTAATGGCTTCAAGTTGTGCCAGGGGAGGTTTAGACTGGACATTAGGAAACAATTCTTCACAGAGAGAGTGGTCGGGCATTGGAAGAGGCTGCTCAGGGAGGGGGTTGAGTCACCATCCCTGGCTGTGTTTAAGAACCATTTAGATGTGGTGTTGGGGGATATGGTGTAGGGGAGAACTTTAGAGTAGGGTAGATGGTTGGACTTGATGATCCCGAGGGCCTCTTCCAGCCTAGATGATTCTGTGATTCTCTTCTTCTCTGGGTGGTCCTGTCCTGCCTGTCCCCACTCTGCAGCCAGAAATGCTTGCTGCTGGCTGCTGGCAGGAGGGCGGCCAGAGCTGCTCCTGCAGGAATGGCCTCAGAAGGCAGAGCTGGATGTTCGCTCCCCGGTGTAACACGGCCCCGACACGGAAAAATCAGGTGGTCAGTTCATCCATCCCTCCAGTGGAGTTTCTCCACATGTTCAGAGTGTTAGACATGAGCTGCCAGCTCCAGGCTGCACATGTCCACCACGGGAATCAGGAGTCTCTGCACAGTTTTAGGGCGAGGAGTAGTTTTTGGGGTGAGCAAACACCATGCCAGATGCCCTCTGGTGAGACGGGCATGCAGGGAGAGGGTATCGAGCCAGTCCCTCAGGCACCAGGATTTACAACCCCCCTGTGCCACCAATACCAGCTGGGGATGGGACAGGGGCCCCATCCCATATCATCTCTGTCCCAGACCAAGGTCATGCCAGCAGCACCCAAAACCCTGAGATCACCATAACCCCCCTCCCTTTCACATTTTTAGGCTCCAACTAGTGAACCATTTTCTGCTAAAGAGAAGAAAAACCCTGGAGTTCAACGGGGCCACGTGAGCTGTGACAGCAGCGACAAATCTTTGGGCACACGGCCGGTGCCAACGCCTTCGGTGGGACTCAATTATCAACCCAACGGGTAGCGTCAAACAGAGAAGCTGCTTTTTTGATAAATGCATATTTTTTTTTTAAAGAAAACATGTCAAGGGGCCAAAGGCAAAGACGACGCAATACGTGGCAGCCCCGCTGCTTGCAAGACAGTCCTGCTAATTTATCCCAGCGCAGAAGCAGGTCCCTTTCTGCTGGGGTAAATGTATGGTTAGAAAACCAGCGGGGACTTTGGAAGTGTGAAAATGTCAAACACAGAGTGGCACAAAGACCTTAACCCCAAAAAAGGGGAAATTTTACGCTTCTCTCTCACGGGTCCTGGAGAGGATGTCTCTCCAGGAGAAAGCAAGCAGGACAGGGTGGTGGTGGAATGGGTGGCCCAAGAGAAGCCCATCACTGGAAAGGATAGAGATAATAACACCAGCTTGCAGCCAGAACTGCAACCTCTGACTTTCACCTTTCTTCCAGGTCCTCAATGCTCCTCTAAGCCTGGCTCCTCTGCTGGGTCCCCAGGGAGGTTTTCCTCCTCTCCCATCCATTGCTTTACCATCTCATCTTTCCAAAGGCCGCCCAAGTCCCACCCCAGAGCCCCGTGGTGTGGCGCCGACAGCAGCAAAGCCATCCCAGCTTTTATTGCAGTCATCACCCCAATTAATTAAAGTTTTCAATTCCCATCTGTCCAAGGTTACCCAGGAAGGATCGACGGCACCCACACGGTTTCCCTTCACAGGTTACAGAGAGGCAGCGATAAATATATCTCAGCAGGGAAAGAACTGGGCTACCACATGGGCCACTGGCTGGGCCACTAGCTCCTGGGCATGTTTGGGCTCTTAGAGCCACCTGAGGAGCAGCACTGGTGCCCAGCCCCACTGCTCCCCCAGCACCACATGATGCTTTAGCACCGGCACTATCTTGGCAAGAAGAAAATGCTCTTGAACTTACCAGAGCTGAAAGGCAGCGATAAATATATCTCAGCAGGGAAAGAACTGGGCTACCACATGGGCCACTGGCTGGGCCACTAGCTCCTGGGCATGTTTGGGCTCTTAGAGCCACCTGAGGAGCAGCACTGGCGCCCAGCCCCACTGCTCCCCCAGCAGCATGCAATGCTTTAGCACTGGCATGATCTTGGCAAGGAGAAAACACTCTTGAACTTACCAGAGCTGAAGTCTTGCAAGGAGCTGCTGGTGAGGCAAGGAACCTGGAAAGGAGGAGAGAGAGACACATCAGTGGGTTGGGTGTTGATGGCAGTGGGTGTTTTAAGAGGATGACAGGGCAGTGTTGGGGTCCCACCAGCCCTATGCGGGTGGGACAGGCAGTATTGAGGTCCCACCAGCCCCTTGTGGGTGGGACAGGCAGTATTGAGGTCCCACCAGCCCCAAGCGGGTGGGACAGGCAGTATTGGGGTGCCACCAGCCCTTGTGGGTGGGACAGGCAGTACTGAGGTCCCACCAGCCACTTGTGGGTGGGACAGGCAGTATTGAGGTCCCACCAGCCCCTTGTGGGTGGGACAGGCAGTACTGGGGTCCCACCAGCCCCTTGTGGGTGGGATGGGGCATGTTCCCCCCCATGGCAGCACTGAGCCCAGCCCCACAGAGCACAAAACTACTCCACAAACCCCAGCTGCCCCCTCCAACCACCCCAAGCCACAGCCTTGCCATGCAATTGAGTCTGACAGAGTCTTAGAGGAGACCCTTACTTAATTAGCACCAGTTAAGATCCTGGACATCACCAGAGTTGCTTGGATACAGACCCTGCCCTATCAGGGCTAATTAAATTCATCAGGGCCACCTAAATTTGAGCTACAAGCCACGGCAGGTGGTGGGAATTCACCAAAGGATTAAGAAGTGTTTTTCCACATCCCAGTATGAACACAGGGCTGCCCCTCTCCCTTTTCCCAGTGCCTCACCAGCTCCTGGAGCACGCCGTGCAAATCTACGCTAAGGAGTCACAACAACGCGCCTGGGAACCCATAAATATCTGTGAAAAATCTCCCCATAAATCCAAGGGAAGGGGAATTTACAGCGCTTTCTTTTGAGATTTCTCCAGGTGTTCCCTATTAAGCCATTGTGCTCGTTTGCATAAGTACTCCTCAGACAATAAAGTCTTCTCTGCCATCAGTTACCGGCTCTGCAAACAGGAGCAGTGCTGGGCACGGGGCTGTAAAGATGAGGGACTGGTTCCTTGCATCACCAGCTCCTTTTTTGAGGGGGGGAGGGTGTGATTTAAATCAGCCACAACCAGAAATGGGGGTCCCTGGGCAGCCCCAACATCCATGTCCCCTTCTGCATGCAGGGGAGCATGGTGGCTTCTCAGGGAGGGCTAGACCCAGAGGTCCATGTCACCAAGGGACATCCTGCAGCTCGGGGACATTGCTGTGCTTCTTCAGGAAAAAAAATACATGAATGAAAACTGAAAACCTGCCTCACTCCTGGACCCCACATCCAACAGATTTCACCCCGCCTGGCTCCTGCAGGAGTGGTGAAGGCCCAGGTTAATTGCCAGGAGAGCAGGTTGTATTTCAGCTGTGACATTTCTTTGTGTGTTTAACGTATCCTTATCATGACTTCTGCTGTAGATGGGTGGGAGACAGGAGAAAATGAATAATACCACGCTTCCTTCCAGCATGAAATTCTCAGCGTGTCCTCCGCCGAGTGCAATTACTGTGTATATGACTCCTGTAATCTGGCTAATACTGCTAAGTATACTGGAGATTAAGGGATTTGGGGCTGCAAAGTCCGTTTCATCCACCCAGGCCCCTGCAAGGGAATATGAGCAGGGAAAAGGTCTCGCAGAAGCCCCCAGACTGAGTAGGGTCTGGCCTGCAAGAGACGGTCCCACCATGTCCTCTTGCTGCTGTGGTCCTCTCCCATGCAGCTCTCAGCTCTGCTTGGGGGGGACATGGAGGAGGGTGACCGGAGCTTCTGGGGAACAAAGCACCTTCTCAGCAGCTCCCAAACCCAGCGTGCTGCTGCCTGGGATGCTCCCAACCCTACACCAAGCACCACCGTCATGTTCCTGGAGCTCTGAGCTCTCCCCAGTGCGGTGCGCGGGGGACATGGTGGCCACGGTGAAGGACTGAAGTGGCCACGGTGAAGGACTGAAGTGGTCTCGGGTCTGCTGCCCGGAGTGCTCTCCAGGCACCAGAAGAGCTGTTATCTTCTGAGCTGGAGAGTTAATAACAGCACTAGAAAATTTCTGCTTTGGCTGAGGTGATGGCACCTGTCTGCCCCATGGGGAGGAGAGCCACAATGCCAGCGTGCCCTTGGGTCTGGACCATGCTGCCAGCCCCCATCCTTGCCATACCCCGGCTCAGACTTGCCCTGGGGCTCTTGCCTGAGCTGGTGGTGGTGGTGGGACACGACCCTACCCCATTGCCTAGAAGCAGGGTAGCAAACCAGGGCTTTGCAGCCCTCATACCTAAGGAAGCTTTGAAAATAAGCCTCCTAGGGAGCTGCCATCCTTCCCTGGTTCACAATGGGTAGAGCCCAACCCCGGACATCACTCCTGCCCAAAGGGGAAGCCATGGAGGGCTCCTTCCAGCTCCTCCGAGCTGATGTAAAACGAAGCAGAGGGTTGTTCTGAATGAACAGGGTTGTTCTGCGAGCACGGATGAACGAAGCAGAGCAAGGAGATGGCTTTAAGTAGTAAAAGCTGCCCTTATGTTATGAGCTCAGACACAGCCTTATATATCCCCGAGCAGCAGAGGAGCCATCTCCGCTTTGATCCGGGTTTGATTTAAAATGGAGCATCTCCCTCAGCATCACCAGGGGGGACAGCAGCGAAGTAACCTCGTTTTCCTCTGCTTTGTCCCTTTTGCCACTTGCCATGTGCCAGAGATCCCTGGGCCACGTGCCAGAGCTGCCAACCCCGGCTCCTTGCCCTCCGGGGGGGTCCTGGCCATGATGTGCTGGGGCAGCCCCCAGCTCTGGCTGCATCCCCCCTCCTTCCCCCTCCCCAACACGGTGTGGTCCAGCCCTGGCAGGTGGGGATGCTCAGGGAGATGCTCCCTCCCCGCGCTGGGATGCGGAGGAGCCAGCACAGAGCTGGGGAAATGAGAACCTGCCGGGGCGTAATGCCAATTCACCGCCCATTAACTCCCCACAAATCCTCCGCTCCCCGGCCTTATCTTCCTCTGCCATGTCCCCTCGCTCCCCCTCCTCCTCCTCCTCCTCCTCCCAGGCTAATGGGCTTTTTCGGACGTGGAGACAGCTGCGTGAGGTACCTTTGGCTGTGCTTGGGAGCCCTTAAAACGGCAGAGTCCCTGGGGAGCTCTGGTGGGAGACACCCCCGGCACCCCCTCAGACACCCAGGGGCGATGGGGCTGCCCCAGACAGCAGGGCTCATTGCCAAACACCCGCTTGCTCTTGAGGACGGAACGTCCCCAAAACGTTAACTTTCCCCCCCCCACCCCCCCCCCCCCCCGCCCCCGTTGTCAGGAGATACCCCAAAGCTATCCACCCATCTGGCTGCCAACGATTGTCTAAACACCCCGCACGGTCCTGTGCATCCGGGATAGATTTACTGTCACTTCTTGTGAAATTAGGAGGGATAAAATCAAACAGCTGAGCAGCAATATCTGCTGGGCGGCGGGGGGGGAGGAGGTGGGGGGAGCAACCACCAGCGCAGCTCAAGGGCTTTGCCGAAAAAGGGAGCTCCAGAATAAACACCAGCCAAGCTCACCATGAGGCATCTTTGCTTAGGAGCCCTGCTGGAATAGCAGGTCTGACCTGTGAGCCCTCCCGACCTGTGGCCGAGCATCAGCTGGGTTTTGAATCAGCACTTTGTGAAATCAGCCAGATTTCACTGTGGGGCAGGCAGGGCAGGAGGGGCAGGAGGCTCCTACACCCAGGGGTACCCCCCCCTTGCAACCAAGATGGCCGCCCTAGCAACCTCTGAGACCCTCCCCAGCACCCATGGGACACCCCCAGATTCTCCGTGACCCCCACCCCAGCACCCAACACCCCCTTAAACAGCCTCAGGCCTTGCCCAGCACCCAAGGGACACCCCCAGATCCCCCGTCCCCCCCCCACCCCCCCCCCCCCCCGCCCCCGTTGTCAGGAGATACCCCAAAGCTATCCACCCATCTGGCTGCCAACGATTGTCTAAACACCCCGCACGGTCCTGTGCATCCGGGATAGATTTACTGTCACTTCTTGTGAAATTAGGAGGGATAAAATCAAACAGCTGAGCAGCAATATCTGCTGGGCGGCGGGGGGGGAGGAGGTGGGGGGAGCAACCACCAGCGCAGCTCAAGGGCTTTGCCGAAAAAGGGAGCTCCAGAATAAACACCAGCCAAGCTCACCATGAGGCATCTTTGCTTAGGAGCCCTGCTGGAATAGCAGGTCTGACCTGTGAGCCCTCCCTGACCCGTGGCTGAGCATCAGCTGGGTTTTGAATCAGCACTTTGTGAAATCAGCCAGATTTCACTGTGGGGCAGGCAGGGCAGGAGGGGCAGGAGGCTCCTACACCCAGGGGTACCCCCCTGGGACGTTCACTCAAGTTCCTCAGATCAACAGCGGATGAAAACCACTGGCTTTTCAGAGGAGAAATTCAGCCCTTCAGCAGGGAGCACAGATTTTACGTGACAAATTGAGCTCAGCCCAAAACTCAGTTTTCCATCCGAAACTGTTTGCCCAGGAAATTTGCAGCCAGCCCTTTCCATCAAGCGGTGCAGCTCCCTGCATGAAGAAGGGTTTGGGGATAGCAGAGCATCCCTCAAGGCGGCAGATAAATGTCGGACCAGAGTTAGTGGCTGGAGGGTGAATCTAGACAGGCTCAAGACTGAAAATAAGGCACAATTGTTGGACAGTCACAAGCACTATCACAACCATTAAGTCAGGAGCAAGAGGAATGCTCTGTCTCCAGCTGTCTCAAGGGGAAGAGAGGCTGGTCCTCCATAAGAGGTGCTATAAGGTTGCTCACAAGCAACATCCAAGAATTATAAGTGGCCCCATAGAAGCCTGAGGACACCAGGAGTGGAAGAGCTGGTTTCCCACCATCACTGTGGAGGGGGACGGCGGAGCTGGGACAGGGTTGGCACCAGCCTTCACCACCAGCCTGTGCTGCAGCTCAGCAGGTCACATCCATCTCCAGCTTGAGAGGAAAAGGATTCCCAAGCCCACCTAACCCACCTACAGGAGCTGGTAGCGTGGTAGCATCCTCCCCAGCTTGGTAACCACAACCCCTGCAGCATCTCCC